ATAACTGCATCTATTGGGAGGAATCAGACCATAAATTAATGGCAGTTAAGCAGCATTTTAAGTATTTCCCAACGTCACCTCAGAAAAACCAGAATGCTACATGTGTGTGTGTGTGTGTGTGCGTGTGTGTGTGCGTGTGTGTGTATGTGTGCGTGTGTGTGTGTGTGTGAGTGTGTGCATGTATCCAGTTGAAAATCAAAGTCCTCACCTTCTCCAGAAAGACTCGGTTTTTCGAAAAACCCCGCTACTTTTCAACAGCTAAAAACCCTATTTCAAAATAAACCTAAAATGCCTTACTAACGCTAAATGATACAAAAAATCATGTGTTTATAGCAAACAAAACTGTTCTTTGATACTACCTTTCTTTGACGATATTGTCCAACTGATATTCGGGTCGTCGTTCGTAGAGTTTTTTGACACGATCCTCCTCTCGTTTGCCTTTTGCGGTTGCTAATTTTCGCAAAAATACCTGAAAAATGTATGACAAGTGACAACATTTGGAAAAAAGAATTCCATCATACATCTAAATGGAGAATTACATAAAATGGACAAATTCAGAAACCAGAACATTTGAAACTTTGTCAGCTATAGCGATCTTGTGAAGAACAGCAATGATTCATCAGATCCCAGCCTTTGGAAAACCCCTAATCTTCCTATAGTGGCCAAAAATTTCAAATTTCTAAGGCGAAAGAATTTGGAAGTAGCCCGAGTGTGGTAACACATGCTAACAGCAATCAATCCCTGGCAAGACTGTTAACGGCTGCTTAAGAATAGCCCAAGGAGGGCGGAGAGGGGGAGGGGGGCGAGGAAGAGGGGAGGGGTTGTCTCCCCAGCATATATCAGTACCAATTTACCATCGAAACGAATGAACGAACTGCATAAGCACTGATTCTCAAATTGGCAAACTAGAACTCTTTTTTTTTTTCAACACAGCGCACCATCAACTGCTACATAATCATTATCGCTACCAAACAGCCTGTATAGAGAAATTTTTGAAACACCTCCGGCGGCTTGCCGTTCAAATTTAGCATCATTTTCCCGGAAAATTCTATGAAAATTGACAAAAATATGACGAAACCCTATTTTTTCAATAGCATAGCATAGCTGATAGACAAGAAAAAAGGGGA